TATATATATATATATATATATATATATATATATATATATGTCCTCTCTTGTCATTTTCAGAGTCTGGAAGCGATGTTAGGCGGTCGCCCTCAAACAGGTCCATTGCCTCAAGGGGAAAATGTGGAAGAAGTGTCGTTGATGTCGTATGAGGAGCGTCGCTATGAAAAAAAGAGTCATAATGGTCCCAGTGAGGCGTATCACGAGGATGACGATGATGATGATGAAGAAATGGGTGCTGGTTCACACAACGTCCAGTGTACTCAGTCATAGTTTATAGATCTGATGTTATCAACAGTACTAAAAAAATCTGTCTTTTTCAACAATATTTATAAAGCTTGGCGGTGTTTTTTGCAGAGGTTTATGCATCTTTAAGAGAGATGCATGTTTATGGTTATAGTCACTTGAAGTAGTAAGTTTTATTTCCATAAAGTTTTACTCATGGTCAAATTCTTGTTTTAGTAATGGAATAAGGTCGTTTAGGTAACTTCCTTAAACATCAACTGTACTTTTTAAAACAGTACTTCTTACTGCACTAGCTTCCAATTGTGAGTTGATTTATTCCTTTGAATCATAACGTTGGTGTGTTGTAAAGTGATTTTCTTGTAGTTTTACAAATACTATGAAATTGTAAGAAGTAAGGGAAGGAGCTTCAGAAACTCTACATATTTAAAAGCACTATCGATTAAAGACTAGCAGTTTTTAGCGGTTATGCATGTCGATACACGTAGTTTTGAGATCTAATTTTCAATAGAAGACTTTTTCCTTTCTTCTTTTCTAATATTAAATGCTGTAAACAGTCATTCATATGCATCCATGCGTCGTAAATATTTTTGCATACATCTCTGTCTACACCGAAAACTTTTGGATTATTTGTATGAATAGCAGCTTTCTCCGATATTGACGGATGCAGTTTTACATCAAATGAACACTATTAAAATAGCACAACGATCTAGTTAACGTCAGACTTTATCTCACGCACAAAATGTTTCACGCTTATCGTCTCAAGTCTTCTGATGGGAGTGGTTTTAATTACATCGACTTTTGGACTGTGTTCCGTACAGTATTCTCTTCTTTATTGATGACATATAGGAAATCAAGATAATAAGTAGGAATTCAAAAATAATGCAGCACCACATACGAAATTTCAAATAAATTCTAATTGACACTGTATACATACAAAAAATCAAAAATATATTACAAGTTTTTGTTCACATTTACAAACTTCTTCACTTCTTTGGCAAATTCCCTGAAAATAACGAGTTTACGCAAAGTTAAACATTCATTGTACAGAAATTTGCAGTAAAAAATCTGAATCACTGCAGCAACGAAGTCTCAGGAACTCATACTAAACTTCCGTAAGCAAAGGAATGACTTCAAAATAGACATACTTGTTGTACTTATGTTCCTCAGCAACTTTCCCCAATAAATCCTTGAAATTCCGTAACGCTACACAATCTGTGCTTTCGCTCCATGATGGTGGAATCAATTTTATTATAGCTCTACACTTCCTGATCATAGACTGGTCTGAGATTGTTGCACACTGTAATGCAGGCATTGTTCTATTGATAACACCATCCAAAATCAATTCTCGCATTTTCTCATCCGATAAAATGGTGGAGAAACAATTTAAGCAACGAATCAGCTGCAATTCAATTTGACGGTTAATAGTGAAAGTGCAAAACATGTTGGACACAAGTAAGTCATAAAAAGCAGGATCCGTAGAACCCTATAATTTTGGCTCCATTCAAAAAAACAGTTTCAATGAGGAACTATTTAAAAAAATGCGAACAAACTTTGATAGCACTCCAAGTCTGTCGATCTAAAAATGCTTTGCAACCCGTCGCTGGATTTTCAATAGACCTGTAAATGATACATTTTTTATTCCCATACCAGATATTCAAGAAATCACTTAATAAAAGAACTGAAGACATACTGTCTTGAATAGATAGGAACAAATAAGTCATCATCGATCGCTTCTTGAGCACGCAAACATATAGTGTGTAATAATTTTTGAACTGATCGACTGGTAGGCACCAGAGTTGGACATTCATCAATTAACTGATTTAGTAAAAAACTCAGATTTTTGCACTGCTTCTGAGATAGAGGGTCCCAACGCTCGCGAACCAGATCTTAAAAAAGAACTTTAAAAACATCATTAGAATGAGGTTTTCATCCCTATCATAAAAAATACTTTCCAAAAATTTTACACACTATATATTTACGTATTCAATGCAGCCTTTAATTTTTTAGAAAGGACAATGAACCAAATTCCTAATTGAGATGTTCACATAATACGTGCATACATACGAACACACATGCATATACACACAAACACACACAATTTTTCCGACGTTTCCTTTACGTACACCATCAACCGACAATAGACACTGTTCAACATAAGTTGCACCTGTAATTTTCCACAAAATAACCTTCTCAATACACAGAGGTATAAGTGAGACAATTATTGGATGCTCAGTGTTGATATTATGACTTTCTGCTGCGCATTTTATTAAGTTTTCATACCAACGCATTGAACTCACTGGACGCTTGTCACTCTAGAAAATAAATTTTACACAAAAAAATATAAAATATGACAACTGTTAGTAAATACAAATCTCGTTGGCAAACATATACATACAAATTCTCACTTTACATATAGCTTAGTATGCAGGTTGCGTTCTGCCAAAAAGTAATATACAGAACGCAGTAGTATAATAGTAGAGGAAACGATATTAGCTGTTGTTTAATTCCAAATTTTAAATTAAAAAAACCTCGAGTGGTTCCCAATCAATCAATTCTAGACGAATAAAAAGTGAAATAAGCTTCGGGATGCACAAATGAATATAAGCGTTAGTGAAGTTATCCTCATCACAAGATAGCCAATCAACAAATCTTGACAAAATTTGATCAATTCGACAAAAATCATCAAGCGCATCAACAAAAACTACATTTGCAAGAGCTCGAATTTCATCTGTAAATTAATTTCACTTTTTATTTTTCAAGTATTATGTAGAAAATTTGTTTACGCTTTTAATAAAACATACTAATTGACTGTTCCCGAGCCACAATTTCGCTTTGTGTCTCTTCATCATCGGTGCTTAAACCTTCCTCATGCGCTATACCTTCTAAAGTATTTTCACGCAAACGTCGACGACGTGATCTGAAAACGATTTCGTAGTTTCTACAAACTATATAATACTACTGACTGACCTCCTTGCTTCACACACAAATTGACTGACCTCCTTGCTTCTCGTTCTGAAGCCCGTTGAGACATTTCATTTCCTCGTGGCTGACATGGCCGTCCTCCGATTGCAGAACATTCATCATACATATCATGCACATCGTTTCTTCTGCGATTTCTAAGTCTCCGAGCACGATTATCAAGAATTTCTGCCATTTGTTTTTCCACATTTTTAACTTCATCCACCTACAATACATAAGTACCTAAGATTTAAACTTCCTGCACTTACAATTCACTAACAACTATAATTCTCCATCCAAAATTAAAGTGATACTTTTTCTGACAAACATTCCAGCAAGTCTCTTGCATATGCCCGTATATCTTGATAAATCTGAAAACGTTCGTTAATCCTCGGTTCTTCCATTTCAAGTTTCTGAATTATTTCTTCATTTTCTTGAATCTGCTTGCTTACTTTTTCACACTCTGACTCCCGAAAATTCACTGACTCCTTTCCATCAGTAATGCTGCATTTTAATATATTTTTTAATCCATTACTTGAATGTAAAAATACTTATTACAAAAGTATGAAACAGTTCTTACAGAAGAACTTTTAATACATAGAATTACCGTTTTTTGAGCTGCATAAGAATTTCATCTAACGATACTGTTCCTGTCTCCTCAGGTATTCGTTCGACTGAAACAAAGTTGCTCAAATAAAACATCGACCATATACTGCCATTACTTTTTATTACTTCAAGTGGACCAATTTACTATATTAATGATGTAAAAAATTAAACGCTAAATATCAAATGTAGTGCTAAGCATGAAATCTATGCACGAGATTACAATATATGTTGAATGCAACATATAAACCAACGATATGGCACAGAAAGCGTTTCTGAGTTAGAAAAATCTATATCCATTTCCATTGGCAGTTGTTCGCGACTTTCGGATGTCAGTTCCATACCGCTTTTTATTGCTTTCATCACTGCTTCCATTTTAGCTCTTTCACGTTCTAACATTTCTACCTTCAGTATAATGAAATTCTTAAAAATCCTGCAGATAACAATTTATGAAAACTTTAACGAAGTTGCAAGAAAAATAAACTAAAGTAAGTACTACAACTCATACTTTATGCGATGAAACCCCTTTCTTCATCTGTTCTCTTTCCCATCGGGTTACTTCTTCATCAGAATGTTCATGATCCCCTTCGTTATCTTAAAACTCAAAACAATATAAATTAAAGGTATTTTAACGAAGCTAGATAGCTAAACAAGAAATTAAAGAGAACACATGATTTATAAAATATAAAATTCAAGTGTTCACATTTTTACTGTTTTGAACTAAGAAAATATGACCTTCTCCTTCATGAGCCAGAAAATCCATCTGTTCATCTCGACGTCGTTGATCTTCTTCGGCTGCTATACTTTTTAATGAATAAAATCTGTAAATATCAAACTTAAATAATTTCGAAACTTGATGCAGTTCCACTAGCAAAATGAATTTGGGAATATTTCTAAAACCAACAAATCCATGTCGAGAAGTATCATAACCTGATTACATAGTAATAAATCTTAGTAGCAGTATTCTGAAATAATAAATGAGGTAACAAACCTATTAACTTCTGAGTCTTCATCACTTACGTCATTTTCGTCTTCACGTATTAATCGTGATCGTGCAACAGATTTGTCCTGTTATATTTTTAATCATTAATTTATTAATAAAAGAATTCAACACGAAAAAGTAAATGTCAGAATACCGAAAATTTAAATATATACTCCATAACAAATAATCCCTACTTTTGAAAATCGAAATTTAGACAATTAATTAACTTACTTTCAACCGCTGTACATCATCCAGCGGTATTTCGCCATTAGAACCAATTAAACGCATTCTTTCGCGTTTTTTCCTTGCTTCATATACTGCCTTTGCATCTGGGATTTCCCCTCAAAGCGCAAGATTTAGAAATTAAATATGTTAAAAATTGCGATTAATAAATCAGTTGTTACCTTGAAATGAAGATGGAAACTTGTTGTGCGTGACAGAAACTTGCTCTTGCTTCACACATGTTCTTTCTTCTTTCGGTTCTTTTTTCTCTTCTGCGCAATCAACACCAAACTAAAGACTTCTTAAGCATCATATAAAGGTAAAAAAATTGAACAGAGTCTTCGAAAACATACTCATGACACGCTTTCCGAAGAACCGATACAAAACAGAAAAAGCACATACACCGGGTGTTATTTTCGATGATGATTCATCTTCAGCGCATTCGTGTTTAATATGCACACCACACACTACCGATTCATTTTTTTCCATTACAACATCGCTAAGATCTTGTAACAATTTTGCCCTTTTTGTTAACTTCTCCAAACGTTTCTTAGTACCTCTTCGCTTGATTTTGAAATCTGATATGTCATCTCCTGAAATAATGATACTGAAGAAAAGTTATAAATTTGATGCTTCAAAAACAAGTGGCTGTACTGCATGGTTTTTTTCGAACCAAAAATATAAAACAAGTCACAATATTTCTATAACAAGTCATGCAAAGATAACATAACTTTTATCATTTGCAAGAATGCATCACCCATATTTTTACCAAATAAGGAAAAATAAGAGAGAGAATATTAAGACTCAAATCCCAAAACGAAGGGTACAAGTTCTCAAACCGTGAGAATCTTCGACTTCAGCCTTTTTCACTGCTTTAAGAGTAAATTAAAGAGCTGAAGGTGCAGCACGCTAGAGACAAACGAATCTGCGTCGTTTCTCTTGCTTTTGTTTGCTGCCTCGTTGAAAATCTACCGACCTTCAAAATTATCAAAACTGAGTAAGTGATGCTCGTCTGTTACCACACCAGCCTGTGGTTTCTGGGTCCCTTCTGCATTATTCACCTTTTCCGCTTGTTGCTGTTTCTGTTGTTGAATCGCTCTGTCGACCGATATCTGCTTGATAGCTGCTGTACTTGCACCTATTGATAACATTCGAACACTACCACTGCTACCACATGTGATACTTTCATCTTCCTTATCATCGATATTGGATGATAGGCGATGTCGGAGATTGTTGCGGCTTTTCACTCGGCGAAACATTTTCCTGAGCAACAAAAAAACAAATTGAATGCAGAATAGATTCTGAAAATTTTACAATTCAAGTGAACAGCATTGAAATTGCTTTACTCTACTTTTTAATAAAATAACGAATATCGGTTGGACATGTTCAAACTCATTTTAAATAACGACTTATCTAAAATTAAATTGGACTAATATGTACAAAGCTATATTAATTTTTTTTTAAATTATAGAAGACTTCTAATTACTGATTATATTTATGATAAACAGACAAACACACTAGACTAAATGCTGATTAGACAAGAGACTTGCATTAAAAAAATTGTACTTTCTTCACATGCAAATATCATTGAGCAGCGCAATTTCGCTTACCACTAAATTACTTTGTAATATTCCAAAAGAAACGATAATAATGAGAGTAAACTGTAAATTTCTCACAAAATTTCTGCAAAAAAGCTACAAGAAACTGGCAAAATGGTCGAATATTGAAAGCATTAATTAGCAAAAAACTTTAAAGGTTTTAATTTGGCTAAAATAAGTAAAAAAAATAAACAAAGTGTACATGTTAACTTGCAGAATCATATAGTACTCTGAGAATGACAGTAAACAGCTTTAAAAAAGAAATAAGATGAAAAATTATGAATTGCTTTCAAACACAATTTATTTGGATCAAATATAAACACGGCCCGTGAATGTAAAACTTCATCTAGTGATTCCATAATTCGCCCTGATATTGTCAATTATGAAAAATTTGTTGCAATTGAGATATTTTAAAGATTAACAGTATTAAAAAGAAAATTTTTCAAATGAAAAATCTATAAAAATGAATACAAATATTTTTTTCCAGCAAATAAATGCTCACAATAAACAAAAATAAGTAATTAAAATAATTCGTAATTTCAAAAATTAAAAAAATATTTCAAAGATTATTTTTTGCAGAATTTTCGTCATTTATCACACTAAAATAATTTCAAACAAATAAAATAAAGCAAATGCGAGCTAAGAATATATTCTTTTTGAGAAACAATCTTTTGAGACTTTTCACAAATTACAAAAAGCACAGAAAAGCTTTTCCTTCGACTTATTACATTTAATATTTATTTGAATTTGAATATTATCTCTGCTTGCTATTTTTATTTGTTCTATACAAAGCACAAAAATACTTATAACATATAACTATTTTTGAAAAAAAAAGTTGTTGAATAAAAGTGATAGGTAAATATATTTATGAAAGTGTGGCAGTTACATTTGCTTAAAAAAAAGCACACTGACATAGTCTTAGCTAACTAGACTGAGTCAAGACTAGACTAGAGATTCAAAATTATATTAAATGATATTTTTATGATCAAAATAATACGAAATTTAATCTTTAATTAGACTGATAAAGTTGATAAAATCTTATCTCTCTTATTATAATACTAGAAACTGCATTAAATTATTTTTATACTTATAATTGATATAAAATGCAATCAATAAAAGTGTAATATTTTAAGTGTACGAATTTTAAGTAAAAATAATAATGCAATCATTCAAAGTAATAGAATAGGCGAAGGATAAGCCTTTGCTAATTAAATTATCTGCTGCGATTGTTAAGAACGCAAAATTTGCATTGCTTATATCACAGTTACTTGCTACATCAAGTTTACTTTTGTGACAAATCCTACTCAGATTCAAAACTTTTTACAGCAAGCATTCTTTATTCCCGAATGCTAGCTCACAGATACATAATAGACTTCTAGTTGTGAGTGCAAAGCAAAGTGCGTGCAAGACTAAGTGTGCGCGAGATCAAGTGCGTGCAAAACTATTCCATCTCTTACTTACTTACAGAAAACAAAAAGTTAAGTACTGAACAAGTAAGTAGTGCTGATTTGTTACGAGCTACAATACTGAGTCCTTTCACAATATTCTCATTCTTTTGAACAGAATCAATTGATATTCAAAAAAATAATTTGACAGAAAATAGCTACAAGCAATAGCTTATATATACTTGTAAGTATTCACTCCACAAAAAAATGTAAGAAAAGATTTGTTCAGCTATTTGATTAGAATAACTGAATTTAGTCAGTTAGAAGATATCTTAATTAGTCCATACAGTTTTATTGTAGGGAATTTGTTCTTACAATTAAATAATTAACGAATTATGCAATTTTAATGAAGATAACTTTATGAGCACTAATTAAGTGAAAGCAAAACTTTGTAGATTACTTTTATTTGATTAATACATTCGTTAATTCATTACTTGAATTTAATTTTAATTTCATGCTGTCCTCACAGATGCATTCTGTACAAATCAGTATTTTGTTGCGAAAAATTTATTCGATATCTTCTGTTTTCTTCTTAAAAAAAGAATTGATATTTTGTATTTGCTGACTGATTCACTTGCAGAAACTGTAAGGTAATCCGAAAGTGATAAAGTCAAGAAAATATAGCTAAAGTTAGCAAGCAGTGCTTAAAGCAAGCTAGTCAACAGACTGAACTTTTAAAATTAATATTTCTTGAGGTTATTTACTTATCTGAGCTGACTTAATTATCAATTATTATTAATATTTTCACATTTTGCGATTCTTGTTTATATTATAGCTTTTTATCAACTCAGATTTTAGTTATAGCTTGATTTTATTACTTTCATAGCTTATCAGTTAATCACTTAGACTACTTTAAGAGTAAAATTTTAACTTCGCAGTTATTATTTTGTGCTAAATTTGTAATATGTTATTGGCCTAATCAGTTTGGTTCTCGTTTTCATTACTTCAAGTATAAAATTTGTGTTTCTTTTATATTTGTCATTAATAACACTTCAGAATTGAGTAATTATTACTGTTATTAACAAAAAATATACTGTTATCTAATCATAAATAGCTAGTTTATTTATGTTTGCTACTATTAGCATACTTTTTGATTCCTTGAATTTGTAGCAAATCTGAAGCTTATTTACAAAAGCATTAATTATTAAGCAAATGTTTGTTCACTTGTGTTTTTGTATTTTTAATATATTTTCATAAAATTCATAGCTTAATATACTTGTAAGTACTCACAGCACAAAAAATGTATGAAAAGATTTGTTCAGCTATTCGATTAGAAGTTTATTATAGCAAATTTAGCAAAGAAATTTTGACGAGTATGCTTAGATATAACTATAAAGATTACAATGTTTGCTTGTATTCTATGAGTTGATTTTAGGAAATTATAAAAGAACGAAAAATGCATTAACTTATTTTTGCCCAAGTTTAATCTTTTAAACTTTTTAATCTAAGTCTAAGCCAAGTTGAGGTACTTAAAGCTAAAATTGATCGAAATATTTTTTACTACTCTGATATTAACTTTATTCTAAGCTTCATTTAACTAATTATTATTTAAGTTAAAGTTTATTTGCTACTGATAATTGTTTCATATCTTGTCGTAAAATAAACACATCACATTGGTTATACTTCTGCATGCTTTCATTTCAGCTTACTTTTTAAACAAGTCAATTATTTATCTTAACTCAGTGAATACTTTTAACATTCGCTCAAAATTCAGCATTATTTATATTTTTGTTAATTAAATTTTTTAAAATAATTATTGCTTTATATCATTTATAATATTCTTAGTATAATATATTTCAATGCGAATCATTTCAAATAGTTTTGCCTTTAATCATTACTTTTCAAAAGCTTACTTTTGTACTTACAAAAATTAGAAAAAGCGTTACTCATGCTTTTATGCGATATGTCACAGTCTTAATACCTTTGCATTTGCCACAAATTATATACAATTTTTTATTTAAAAAATAAATTAAATTTGTTGATATTTTGTTTTGAAACATAAATAAAATATTTTTGAAATTTATATATTTATGTTTATATTTTTTGAAATACGAAGAAAGTATGTCTACTAATAATGTATAAATTTTTGCAGTAATCATCAAAAATCACAGTTTTTATTGAATTTTAACAAAGTTTTTTTGAAATTTTTTATGATTTGAATGATCAATTATCCGATCACATCAACACAATACATTATAAACCATATCTATGGCATTCTACCGTAAAAACGTTGAAACTTCGCAGTAATTACAAATTTAGTATTCAGAATATTGAATACTAAATTAATCAAGTAATCACTTTAGTTTATATTTTGTCTTTGTTTATCAATTTGTCTTTTTATAACTTTTTCAAATATTAAATTTTGTATTTTCTTTTTGCGAGAAATATTATTATCAATTGCGTTCGTACTACAATTGCAATGTTTTACTTACACTTTTTGTAGTGTTTTTCTTGCAAAATTCATCAAATTTTCAATGATAAAAATAAAAAAACAACTGCGCTACTTTACAATCAACCATATGCATTTTGATGCTCTGTGGAGAAACTGAAGTGAAAGTGTGTGGGATTAAGAATGAAAGTAAAAGAATGTTAGAACAGAGTTTGAGGCTTTAGCTTTTTAACTTTACACCAAAATGTAAAAGTATGCCAGCTGTTGCTGCTGCCTTACTTCTTCACTAGCATCTGATTTCTTCTTCGTGGGCGTTAGAAAGTTGAAAAAGTTTCAGCAGAAGTCAGAAGAAGAAGTTGAATTTGCCCTCAAGTATTGCAGTATTCTATTTCTTAGCTATAGCAAAAGCTTAACAGACAGACTATTTCACTTTATTCACAAATAATTTTCACTAATGGTAAGTAAGTTTTAATTGTTAATTATAAGTGAGTAAACTTTTCTTGTCATACTTTGTTGCCTTGATGAAGTTATTGACTTCTTTTAATGATAAAGTTTATCAAAATTTGTAATTATACAACTTATTTCATAAGGAATAAGCAAAAATAATTGAATAATTGCAAGATTTTGGATTTTTTTGAAATTAATTGACATTTACTTTGATGCTCTTTTTAAATACGATTATTAATTTTTTAAGTCAAAAAAGAAAGACTAAAAAATGCGATAAACTTATTTAAAAACAAAATTTACTTAATATAATTTTTAAGTTAAAAAATATTTGATATAAAATTATTTCAAATCTGAAATTCAAATTATTTATTATTTTTAGGAATAAAAAGTTGATTTGAAATGCTTATTAAGGATATTCAAATTTCTGAATTATCCTTACAATATGTTCAGCAACTGATTAATTATTCTTAAAGATTTACACTTCAAATTTCCGTTTAAAAAATAGAATTTTTCTTACAGTAAAAAAAGCTTACAATAAATTTCCATTTCAGCATTTTTAAATTAAAGAAAAAATTACGCATACATTTTGCTACAAAAGTTTTCTTCAATTTGAACGAACTTAAAATATTAATTTTTAATTGCATTAATTTTTAGGCAGAAGATATTGAAGAAATTTTAGCCGAAATTGATGGCTCACAAATTGAAGGTCAGTTTGTCTTGCATAATTTTTATACGAAATAATTTCTTCAAAAATTGCAAAAGTTTTAAATTAAAAAAAGCTTTTTCAAACTTGCATTTTGTTCGATTTTAATTTTAATATTTTTCAAATATTCGAATTTAAGAGACTTGTTTATATTTAAATTATGTTAATTAAGTTATGTTAAAGCGCATGAAATATAAACAATTTCATTCAAGTATTATCAACTTTATCGATATATTATTGCGCAGTATTTAACCATTACTGATTTGTAACAAAGCATTTATAATTGACTAATTTTCTGTTTTAGAATACCAGAAATTTTTCGATATGTTTGATCGAGGCAAACAAGGTTATATTATGGCAACACAAATTGGTCAAATTATGCATGCGATGGAACAAGATTTTGATGAAAAACAACTTCGGAAATTAATTCGAAAGTTTGATGCGGACGGATCAGGAAAGTTGGAGTTTGATGAGTTTTGCGCTTTGGTTTACACCGTCGCTAATACCGTTGACAAGGAAACATTACAGAGAGAACTGCGTGAAGCCTTCCGACTATTTGACAAAGAGGTAGCTTTGATATTTCAATTCCAACTAATTAGTTGATTAATTAATTAATCAAAACAGTATTCTACTGGTGTTATTTCATCGTAAATATGCAAATGAGATAGTTTCAGAAAAATAGTTTCTTTTATTAATGCCGTTTCCTTTTTCAAATATTACAAAAAAAAATACCAAAATATGTATATATTATAAAAGATTATTTCTCATTTTTTCTCTTCGTATTATCAGTTACCTGAATTACTAGTAAATGATTCAGCTTGTATGGAAATTAAAGTGCAAGAGCTTAATTTTTTGGAAAGTATTATTAATATGCAAATGAGATAATTTCAGGGAAATGGTTATATTTCTCGACCCACTCTGAAAGCATTACTGAAGGAAATAGCTGATGATTTGAGCGACGAACAACTTGAAGCCGCTGTAGATGAGATTGATGAAGATGGGTCAGGAAAAATCGAATTCGAAGGTTTCTAAGCCTTTTCAATCTTTAACTTCAAAAATTTTCCTTAGTATCAAAACAAGAAATCATTAAGACTTATTTAAGCAATTTATTTATACTCAATGATCAAATTTTAATAATTTTTACCACAATAAAATGAAAATTATCAAAGTTAATTCTGCTTTCAAGCCGACTAAAATTTTGAAGTTTAGCGCTGAGAAACTTTTAAGTAACTTTTTATTCCGAACAAATCTCGCAACTATTCTTATTTAGTAGTATACAACACTTGAAAATTGGTCTACCACAAGTAAAGTATAAATATACTTCAGAGTACTTAAAGAGTTCAAAAATGTAACATTTTAAGTAGTACTTTGCTGAATCCTTTTAGAATTCTGGGAGTTAATGGCTGGAGATGCTGACTGAATCGACGACTTGTCGTAGTAATTAATAATTTCAAATGTTAATAGATTCAATGTGATGCACAAGTTTCTGCTATTTTTCCCTCTTTAATTGATTATATTTATAAAATATATTACTTTCAAGATAAAAAAGTGTTTGTAACAGTTAATTGCATTTTAACTAAACGTGAACTCTTTGTATAATAGTGATAATTCAAGCTTATCTTTTGCACTAAAATTAATTACAACAATATAAGTAATGAAATAAAAGATTAAACATTTATGGCTTAATTTAATTATTATAAGCCAATTATTGTTTCTTTCGTAGTATTAACTTTAGAGATAATGATAAAAGCTATCATCGACAAAATCATGAGATGAGCGGTGTATAATTGGAATAATTACAAGTAGTAAAAGGCTGATTATTACTGTACATATAAGGAATAAAAAAAATAATAAACGGTCAATTACACAAGCAACCTGACGCCATTCGCTCGTTAATATTTTGCATTGTTCATCATTTTCACAGCGTTTTAATAGTGCCTAGAATACATCATAACTGATCGCAAATTGCCGATGATTAAGATCATCGTCATCATCATAATTATGATTATGATGATGATTATCTTAATTATAATTATGATGATGATCATGATCTGCAATGAAAATGAATGCATTGATGTGATCAATACTCATGATTATAATTACTAAGCTTAAAAAAATTTACATCTTTTTATACTTTTTAACAACTTATAAATTTCACATTCTTTGTGTAACTGTAATTTTTGTTGATCAAAATTGATAAATAATCATGAGTTCAAATATATTTTGAATTACTTAATTGGATCAAACGTGACTATTTGAAGATATGAACAAGCAATGACCTCTGACCTCTAGTATCCTCTGCAATTGAATTTGTAAATCAATAATTTGTTTGCTTTTTCTTCTTCTGAGACATTCATCAGAGGTGATGAATTTGGTTTCGTGTAAACAAAACTGATCATGCAACCAATTATATCTTTTCAAACCTTAACAACGAAATTAATTGAATAATTTTAGAATAAATTGGCAAAAATAATAATTTGAATTTACTTACTATTTGATACAAGTAATGCCAAAAAATTCTCACGAGTAGTTTTTTGTGAACTCAAACTGCGGATTTGACCATTCGGCATGAGCAGTTTATTATTTTTATTTGATGAGTACTCTAATTTCATGTTCAGATAATTTCGTAGTTTTTTCAAGACAATCACACGGATCCATTCCGGTACAGGCTGGTTAAATCGACCGCGGTGGTGAAAATTGAGTACCTGCATGATGCATACATATCTAGCTATTCGTAATTTTGGTGCTAAATTTCTTGACTATGGAAAGTCAACTAGCTAGCTGTGAGAGGATATGGCAGTTGCATGCATATGAAAATGCTTTAATACTAAAAATACTTTGACTAATAATTTATGCTTACTTTTTCCTTCAAACTTGAATTATGATTAGGAGAGTACTATTAAGCAAAAACTAAAGCTGGAAATATTAGAAGGGAAAAATACCACAACAGTCATCACTACTGAGATGCTAGTCATAAGCATCACAACAGTTAGGTAAATTCCTATTAAGGGCACTGAATCGCTAGTCTCTGGCATTTTTTCTGCTATTGCAATCACAAATACCTGAAAAGTAGAACCAACTAATGAAAGGCAAAAGTCAGAATTACTGCTATTATTATCTTTTAATTACTGCTGGAATAACGTCCAAAATAAAGCTAAAATGACATTTCCAACATCGTTATTTCTTGAAATAGTAACTGTAGCAATAATTTTGTTCAAATTTAATCTTAAAATTGAATTCCTTCGGTAACACTTTTGTAAATAAATACCTTTTATAATAAGCCATTACTTGTTATATTCAAGACTAGAACTAATTTTAATGTCAGAAATAACTACACTTACCAAAAATGCAAGAAGTACAGTGATGCCTAGTGCTATTTTTTCACCTGAATCAGGTGGAAGCAAAAATACTGAAACAAATTTTTCACGTAAATTTTGAACAATAACTTTTATTTAATTTAGTACTAATTGATCAAAAAAGTGAGCTAATCACAGTAATGCTAATGCCTTCTGAATTTCAATCTTGAATTCATATTCTAAAATTCAAGTAATGCATAAAATTTATCAGTGTAATGATCTAAACTTCTTCTAAAACAAAAGTTGTTGAGAATTATGCACAAAATTGTTTAGTTAATTTGAAAAAAAAGTTAGTAAAGGGATAAATTTTTGAAATTAATGGTTCAATAATTTGTAAACTGATTACAATTTTTTGAAGTAAAACTGAATGAGAGATATAATGTAATTACTTACCAAGAAGTGTTAAAATAGACATCATTGAGCATGGAAATACAATATTATACAAATAATACAAAGTCTATAAAACCTTAAATTTACTACCACAATGCTTTGAAATGATTTATTTAAATATCGAATAAAAAAAATTACTAAAATAAGTAATTTAGTCGATATCAATGTTAGAAACATTACATTTTTAATTTTTGATTCAAATAATACTTAAAGACTAATTCCTTAGCAGTTTTCATATTTTAGATTTCTTCATTCCCCAAGTCTTAATAAAATTAATCGTTTACTTTTAGATTTTTTCCATACATTTAAAGATTATTAGTTGGCGATAATAATTATTGTAAATTAATTATGCAAACGTTATTACGTCATTTTTCACTTCATAATTTAAAAAACTAATTTGATATCAGAAAAGTTTCTATCCCAAATTACTGCAAGCCATTTTCATTCCATTTTGATATTCTTTTGTAATTTTTTGAAAACAAAATAAATAGTAATTACAAAAAAATAAATAAATCAGTCATATGAATGATAATAACCTTTCGTCTCACGTAAATATAGAATGTTAGATCTGGATAATGTTCTGGACAACATGTATACTTAACAGTTCTACGTTTCTGGAACACTCGTATTAAATCAAATTCTCCAGATTCCCCATAATTACTCAAGTCAATATTTTGGCTACGATTTATAATATCCACTTGTAAGCCTAAATATAAATTTTCATTTTAATCAAAAAATAAAATATGCAAATAAGAAAACAAAAAGAAAAATAAATACTTAAATAACTGTCTAATAGATGTTAGCAATAAAATTTTAACGTATATTTTTTCAAAATATATAACAAATTTTTCAAAGTTTGAGATAAGAATTTCAATTACATAAATATTTTTGACGTACCATCATACGACCATGAACCAAATTTAAGTCCACATTGTTGGCTATCAAACGGAAAATAAGTAACATCAATTTTACAAGTGCTTCGAAGTTGTGTTAGAGGAGGCCAAAATACAGTACCGTCATAAAATAACATCGCCCGTGAAGGCACATAATTGTTTGTGTAGTCATCAGCACTAAATCATTTCTATTCAATAATTAAATTATTTACTTTATTAATTACAAAGAAAGTATGCAAAAATGAGCTAAATGTACAAATTTGAATAAATCAATAAAATAAATGTGAAGCTTTAAAACTTATTTAAAGTATGTGCTCATTTGTCAAATTTTTTTACAGTAAAAAGAATTACAAAGTACTTTTTTTTATTTGCATATTTTTCTGACAAAGTTTTTGATTTTAAAAAACAATTCTAGGAAAATTTTTTTGACTTAAATAATTAAATAATAAAAATTAATTAATCGATGAGGAATTAGTTACTTATTATAAAGAACAATATCAGGCAACCATATTAGATTACATGGCACCCGAATAGATTTAATGCCATCAAATTGTTCTGGATCCCAAACTAATAATTCATCTTTCCACTCCTGAATCTTTTCGGGAATAATACTAATAAATGCAAATTTTGACGTTCAATTGTTTTGATATTAATTTCAGAAGTTAATTTAATATAAAAGTTGGACTACACAAGGGAAATAGTAGTACTAGCCTGCTCTAGCCAGACATTCATTGTTAACACTTGATTTTTTTCATCCTGCAATTATCAGTAATTAGAAATTAGCTTTTTTTTTAAAAAAAAATAAAAATTGTATTTTGAAAATGTATAAAAATTTAAATTCTGTAAGAAATTTGGATTTCTATTTGTGAAGAGTAACTGAATTATATTGCGTATTATATCTTACATGCGTAATTACTAATATCACGTAGGATAAAAGCAGTGATGGCGTAGCAGATTTAAGTTCACGTAAGTACTTAAAGAGTACGACAAATAAATTACACAAGAATTATGGCTGATAAATCTGAAATTACAGATATTCAAACGAAATTTTTTGATGACTACTGCATGGTACTTAAACACTTACATATTTTGCTGTAATTTATTAAAATATATATAGAACTACTGAAAAAAAAATACCATATCAAATATATTAGTCATTGTCAGGCCTAACTTTACTACTACGGTATTTGAAGCATTTCTCACGGGCCTCACGGCCTTCTCGTATTCCTTTAGCAAGTAATGCAAAAGCCGTTGCTCATCAGTTGTTTGCTTGAAAGCGCCTTCATGGCGTAGTTGCTCACTTCCAACTACATATTCATTCAAATTATTCAAAGTGTAACTTCAAATAATTTCGAATTAAATATTCAAATTAAAGTTTTGTACTTAATAAAAATTTTGCATAAAGCAAAAAATTATTGCAAAAAATTTTTATATTTCTAAGCAAAGCAAATAACACAAATATCATCAATTTCACAGTAAAAAAGGCAATGAATTTTTCTAAAAGTAAGCGCCAATTTTGTTTTAATTTTGCCCAATAATCTTCAAAAACTCAGCCAAAACAAAAGTAAATTTGCATAAAATGTTAAGTTTACCTGCGTCAGCAATGCGAACGATTATAAAAAATATGAAATACATGATGTGGCATTACATGAGTACAGCAAATGAACAGAATACTGCCATCAACTCGCATTAAAAATTGTTAGCGCTGAATAAAATTTAATTTAATAAATAAAAATAAATTAGTAATAAAAAATTTTTTTCACAATTTTTTAATTTTTAAAAATTTTTTAATATGAAAAAAATCAAAAACAAAAATTAAGTGAAATTTAAATTCACTCTAGTGTTTGTATGGATTTCTGGATGGTTTAAATTTGTAAAATTAAAACTGCAAATTAAAATTAATATAATCGATAAAATTAATTTTTTTAATGGTCAGAATAAAGATATTTGTACAAAAATTGTTAACTTTGTATAAAAAATCAAAATATTTTTTTGTCAAACAGTGTCGGAATATCAAGATTAATCTTGATAATTGGTAATGCAATTATTTGCAATAATTCGTTCTATATTACAATAATTTGAATATCATTTGAGAAACTGTGTTGTAATCAGTACAGTCAATCTGTGTTATTAAAAACTCTAAAATATAAAAGTATGACAGACTTTTGATCAAAATTATTTAATGAATTTTTTTATTACTCAAACTTATAAAAAACAAATAAAAAAAGATTTTCATTAGCTCATTACTTTTTCATTAAGCATTAATATTTTCGGTTTTAATACAGGCATTAATAAATTTTACTGCTTGAGCAGTTTGAATATTTTAATATTAAGTATTTGATAATTTGCATAAAATGAGAAAAGCAATAAAAATAATGAACTGAAATGAAATGAAATACTTTCAAACAACACATTTGTTATTCAAAAAAGTGTAATTTCGATCAGATAATAATTTTAGTAATTAAATTTTATTCAACAAAATTCAACTTTTGTATTAATAATATTTACAAAATTTTCTCACAAAATTATTATTTAAAATTCAAATTGGCTATAGCATTTGTATAAAAAGGTTGCCTATCACAGTGCTGAAGAATTATAAAAAAAGCAAAGTAAGCTGTCAAATGTTTGATTATTTTTTATTCTAAGCAATGTCTTTTGAGCAGTTATTTTTAACAAAATATAAAAATGAAAAAAAAGAAATTGCTTTTTGTTAGCTAACTTTTGAAAAATTAAGCATAGAAAAAACAGGCAGAAGAAAAATGCAATATAGAATTAGCTAAAAGCTTTTTTGCTCTTTTTAAAAAGTCCAAACTTGTATAAAAAATAGATCAAACTGTCATAGACTTAGTTATCATATGAACAAGCCTCAGAAGGATTGATTGTACTATGCAACTTGCTTAAAATAAAGCAATATTTCAATATAAGTTAATAAAATTTCAATATAAGTAAGTTAATGAAAAACTTATTTATTTATTTAATTTTATTATTTGATCAAATAAAATTATGGCGATTGCTATTTATTAAAATGTTTGAACTTAATGCTTGTCCACTTTGGCTAGGACTGGAGTTGCACATTGAATATGTTGTCAAGAAACTAACCATTACATAAATTTGCTTATAACTGACAGCACTATATCAGCTAAGCTTCTGGATTTTGTCGTTTCTAAGCCAAACATTCTTGTCATCGCATTCACAATAATCACATAATTATTCAAAATTATAATTGATTCACATCATATCATATCATATCACATCATATCTTCCCTAATAATTAAATACTTGTAATAAAACGGAAAAAATTAATATTTATTTATTAAATATCAAATTTTCGCCAAAAAACTTTGCAAATTCATCACTGCCTACACTTTTGCACAGCCAAAAACAAATAGAACGAACACTCACAAATAACTAACTCGTCAATATTATTTTTCGGTTCCTTTTCTTTCATTTCATATGCATTTTTATGAACGAAACAATTTACAGCTTAAAAGTTAAAAACTGATAATAAGCTTCTAATTTGACTGTAATCACCTTTGAACTTACAAAAGCATTGTATGTATTAAAAATTTTGTTCATTGACAATACAAAAGATTCATTTAGTAATATAGTAATAACATTGATATTATATTCTGATAAAGTCCCGTAAACACAGTGACAATAAACGAATAACTAACAGGCATAATATTACAGTTATAGTTATTATCAACATGCGATAATATTTATTATAATAATGTTGTTTTAGTAGCAAAATCATTTGTTAATAATTATGAAAATGACTTTGTGCTATTTTCGTTTATTACATATAGTTCAAGCATAATTTCTTGGTAGGATTTATTTCAATTAAGTATAGTCATAAAAAATTAAATTAATTAATTATAGTCCATAAACTTATTCTTAATTATGACACTTCACCTTCTAATAAAAGTATTTAAATATGACAGTACTTCTTTTCATAATTTTGCTTTGAACTGAATATTTCAGAAAGCTCAATATATCAGTAAGTAAATTTTTTGAATTACTATACTTATTATGAAGGATTATCAAAATGATAGCTTATAAAGAAAAGAGCTTATGACAGTTTTGACAGCGATTTAAAATCAACTGCTTAGTCTATACTCTCAAAGTTAGTTTAGCAGTAATTTTTCCTCAAAAAAACAATGTTTTACTATTTTCATCAATATTTTACTGCAAAAATTTTATAAAAAGTCTTTAAAATACTTCAAGAAATTATTGGTCTTTCCAGTATTTCTTAAAAGCAATGGCTGCTGAGCTCGAAAAATAATTGACTAATAACTTAAATAGAACGGATTAAGGTTAATACAGTAAGTTAGTTAGCCTGAGAGATTAAAAAATTTACAACATTGCAGCAATAAAAAATTTTAGGTAAGTCTAAATGTGACGAAAAGTTTAAAAAACACAAAAATCCTTGCTTATTTACAATAGCAAAAAATAAATTCGAAAAAAAAGCAACTTGAAGCCTTTGGCCTACCACTTTGCTTCATTCTCAATTGCTCAATGAATTCAAAAAACGATACAAACTTTTTTCTAACAAATTAAACGTTGACATAAGTAAGTTTGTGGTTAAAAAATGAAATAATTTTTAAATTCCGTAAGTATTAATTTGAAATTTTTGTCTTTATAGCTTTGTTCTTTTTAGAACTTAGAAATTTATTTATCGGAGATAGTTTACAAATTTTTGTTTATAACACTAAAAACAGTTAATTCTGGTCAACTTGAATTTAAATTTGAATTTGCTAATGAAATTTGCCTGCTTTTTAAACAATATGAGTATTTATCTTATGATTCTTAATATTCTAAACTATTTTTTTATTAAAAAAATTTTTGCTATTTTTTTATCATAGCTTCCTCGAAGAAAAGCTGAACTCTCAATACTAAAAAGGAAAAAAATAATGAATCCTTTATTATCTTTTCAAAATTTTCATTTTCTGCGATAGTAATAATTTGGATATTCAAATTTTTGCAAAAAGTTTGAATACTCTTTAATGAATTTATCTTTTTGCATTGTTTACATATGTTTTGGCTGAATTTAGCAAAAAAAATACTTCGAAAATGCAAAAATAAACGATAAATTTTGCATTAATTTATAAATTTGAGACAAAATAAATTTTCTAATTTATTTTTAACAAAAAAACACTAATAAAATCTTTTTTTAACACTTATTTTTTGAATGAAAGCGACAAAAGTTTATTATTTTACACTTTCAGAAATAAATTTTATTAATTTATAGTTGCACTAATAACTTGTCATAATTTTTTTCCTTCTATTTATAATATTTTAAATTAATGAATATCAAGCACAAATCTAAATAACTTATCGTGATAATGATTATTTTCAAATGATCCAAAAATGATTTGTACTGATTAATTACCATGATAATAATTTTTAATAATTTTTTTCCTTCAATTTAATGAATTACAAGTACTTCAATTGATTGCAAGCAGTCATATATTAAAAATATATTTAATATTTCTTTTATAATTGAACTTTTATTAAAAAATTGACATTGGAAGAGAGAAGTTGAAGAACTACTTCAGCAATTAATTCTGCATTGCGCATATTGAAGTGCTGGTTGTTGTGAGTGCAGTGAATATTTGAACTTTCAAAAGTAATCATAGCATATGATTGGAATAACTGAATTTACTCATTTTTATTTCCAATTTTTAAATTTAAAAATTACAACTTACACATTTTAAAATTGCTTACCTTTAATAATATGAAAAAAGGCTGTATTTGTTAGAATGAAAAATTACCTGACCTTACAAATTTATTTCTCTTAATGATAATTTTACGTTTTCAAACTTTCTATTCTATTGAAAAAAAAACTATCAGCTTATCAAGTTACTATGGAAAATAATTATTGCAAATAATAAAGGTAATAAAAAAAAATTGTTTTAAATAACTTTGCAAGTTAACACAAACAAATTAGCTTACATGTCAACAAAATTTGTAGTATAAAAATTATCAGTTATATTCACTTATACGCTTATCATTCAGTTTTTGATAAAAAAATTTTTTACTAACATGCAAAAATCGAGAAATGGATCTTTGATGGATAAATGGCATAGATGCGCGAGTTATTTTTTCATGTGAATTAATGATGCATTTATGTAAAGGAATTGAAATTATTTTACATTATAAGTGTATTTCATACAAACTTTTTAAACTTTTCTGATAGATATTAAAGTATATTTTGATGTTTTTTTTAATTTTGATAATGTTCCTTAGTTAATTAAATATGAATTTATCATATGCCGAATCTTTTAAAAAATCATTTTCTAAAAATAATTCTAGTTTTCATATTACATAACAAGCAGTCATACAAGGACGAATTAAGTGTTTAGATAAAAAAGCAAAAATTTGATATCAAATCATGCAAGATTCTGCTAACTTTAAATATTTATTTTTAAATTAATTCGGATATTTTAAATTTTTTAAAGCAGCAACTTGTTTTTCAGATTTAACTTTGTAAATTGCAATTAAAGATATTTCATAAAGTAAAGTAAACTAAGTCAGTCAGCAAACTTTTTTGCTGCAAAAGAGATTGAGCTATGTTTTTTTCAAAAAAGTCGAAAATAAACAATAAAGCTATAATGTTTTTAAAATAACTTTTATGACAACGTCAGTAATTAATAATTAAAAATGTATGAATTCAACGTAAAAATAATTTGTGAAAAATTTTGATATGAAAAATATTATAAATTTGATTGACCACAGATTTTAAAATTATTTATACAAAATTTGACGTTGACTGTTTTAAATGCAGCATTTTAAGAATGCATCATTTCTTGTGCAAAACTTGCTTTTATTTTAAAATTAATTTTTAAATCAATTAAATAAATTCAAAAAAATCTTAAAAAATTTATTTAAAAAGTTTTTGCAATCAAGTTGCTATATTCATTAATTATAATTTTTATTTACAATTTAAAAAATGATCGAACTTGTACAATTAATTCAAATTTGCGTAATTTGACAGATTCAGTTTCTTCAGTATCAAATTTTCTATTAAATAATCAATTTTCAGTTTGTGTCTTCTTGTCACTTTCTGAAATGAGAAATGTTAAAGTTCGAAATTTGAATTAAAAATTAGTAAAGCTTTCCATTTTTAATTTGTTTAATGCATATTTTCAATTACGGATATCCCTTTGAAAAGTTAAAATGCATATTGAAAATTAACTTACGACGGAAAAGCCGAATAGCAACTCCTAGTGAACAAACTGATATAGGAATTAGCAGCAACGAAAAAATTATCAAAATTATTCCATTTTTATGAATCTCTGAAAGTTAACAAAAACGAAAAGAAATGAATGATTACACTTTCTGTATAGTAATTACGATGTGTAAAAATAAGCTCTTATAAAATGGTTTTCGTGGATTCAGAAGGAAATTCAGAAAGCATCATAATTAATTAATTAATTAATTAATACTTAACCTTCATCAGTTACGCCAAGAATGCCTATTTTGTTGAATTTCCAACTACTTGGATTGAAGAATATATTGAATGATAAAACAGCAATTATCAGTAAATATATAATTGAAACCGTCTAAAAATTACTTGCAACAATAAAGAAGTTGTATTTAGTCCTCAAATTTTTGATCCAATTAATTAACTAATTAATCAACTTTTAATTAATTAATTAATTAATTAACTTTAATTGATATTATTCACTCTTTTACTGCAACAAACATTTGAATTTATTAACAAAAGTTAATTTCTCGTTTTTGTGTTAGAAAATTTTCATCGATCTAATTAATATACATTTTTGCTAGAATTTTTTACAAATTTAGCACTTTTTGCCAGATTTTTTTCAACAAAATTATTTTTATGCATAAAAAAGTGGGGAAAAAATGAAATAAGTACTGGCCTGAACAATCATATGAAGAAACAAAGCAGTGGATGAATTGAACATTACAGTGATGAACGTGGCTAACACGCCAATCACTGCTAATAAAACGTGAAGGACAAATGCACCCGAATAAGAAAAAAATATGGTACAAATGGCACAGAAGCCTGTCATGGCCAGTAATGAACAAATAGCCAAAATTAGCTGCAATTTTGGTATTGAATTTATTTGAAAATACAGTCAAAGTATTAGAAAAAGCTTATATAATTTATATATTTGCACAATCTTTTAAACAATCTCTAATTTATTTATAAACTTGGCAAAGAATATAAGACTTTTTATTCATATGCTAAAATAATTGTAGCAAATTAAATTAGCAAACTTTTAGTTTAAACATTTTTCCACAAAATTGCGCATCTGAATGTTGGTGCTTAGCAACTTGAACTGTATTTTCCGAAGTAATATTCATTTTGCCTCAGTAAAATCTGAAAGCAAACATACCATACAATGTAGCTTTACAAGAATTACGATAATAACTGAATTGTATTCGTGCAAAAAATAATATTACAAAGTCTTAGTTAAAAAATGTTATCAATAATTGTTGCTAAATAAATCAGAAAAGTTTCTACTACTTATGATGTATTTCAAGCTGTGTCATTTTTAATGCTTAGCAACAAGCTCGGATTTTCTTAAGGATTCATGTAGAAATGCTTTAACAGTCTAGTAATTACTGTATTGCGCATAAAAAACTTTCTGAATTTATACAATAAAAAACTTAACATAAAATAGACAGATATTTTGAGTAATTGAAAAATGATAGTTGAAATTTATGTAAGTATAGCTTAGATAATAACTTGCTAGCTCAGCTCAAAATAAAATGCCTATCAAAAATAATCCATTGGTATGTAGAAAAAAAATCAGTGCCATCATATTAAAATCTTGATCAAAAAACAAAAAAAAGGAAAAAATTACACTGCCAAAAATTGATACATTTGCAATTCAATTTCAAAAAAAGGTAAAAATGAAAACTTTGATTTTTTTTTGCATAAATTGATATTCTTGTAAAATTGCGTGAAAATTCTGATTTACGTAACCTTATATTCATATTTGTTTAGTAGTTAGAGAATTATCATTTCTTTTGATTTAATATACTCTATACATCTTTATAATATCTTTAAAAAATTGTATTAAAAAATTTATTAAAAAAAGTATTACGTGAGTTGCTCTTATTAATAATAATTTGATTATGCAAACTGCGCTAAAATACTGACTTCGGCGGAAAATTTAATTTCCAGTAAAATTATTTTTGTAGGCAATGAAAATAAAAGTAATGGCGAGAAAACTTTTACAATACTTAAAATTTTTTCCTTCCTTTTATTTTAAACATTTATTCCAGCAATAAATGTTAAAAAAGTGTTTTACTTGTAAATATAGCAAAAGTTGCATGTATAATCAAAACAAATGATCAGTCATATCCATCTGAATCATAAATAGACGAACACGTGTTTCGCTATCAAATTATCACTCTATTTATCATATTTTACAGAAAAATCATTGGCAAAAAAATAGAAGATATCGAAGACGTAATGAGAAAAGTCATTGATTGCATCTTTAAATCATTCATAGTGATGAGTCAGATACTTTTTAACATTTCGTGACCTTTCAACTTTCTAACTCTGAGCCTTTTTATCTTAGCGTCTTGTACTACAATACTGATATATAACATTGATTAGTTTCATAAGTTTTGTAATTTAAATCAAAATTAGAAAATGACGTAAAGTATTAGTTACAGCAAGCAAATTTTTGAGCAATAGAACATACAATTGAGCAAACAGTGCACTTGAAGTGAATTCAAAGGACTAGTGAATTTTGACAGTACTACCGTACTTTACAGTTAGAGAAATTATTATACAGTTAGGTAAAAGAAAACTTAAGCAGTCTGTATTGGGATTGAAGTAAGTTCTTCTGTAAAGTCAAATTTTCTTTTGCGTATATTAAATGTAACAGAGAACAAAATATAAATGTGCAAAATTTTTTATCAAATTTAACTTCCTGACGTTTACTATCAATCAAACGAACTGTGAAAATTTGCCTTTATCTCTGTTTTATGCGTGTGTTTAAGAGTGTCTGCGTGCGTGTGCATGTGCACATGTGTGCATGTGTGCATGTGTGCATGTGTGCATGTGTGCATGCTTAAAAAATTATTCTGCTAAATTGCTGTTCAGTGAGAATTTGATTCATAAAGTAAAAAGCTTTGCACTATCTTTCTACACAGTTATAATGAAAATTTTGTTGTCAAAGTACAATGATAAATTTTCAAGACTTTTTCTACTAATAATAAATATTGATTGATTTCTTGATCGATTACTTTTATTAGCAAGAATTGTGATCAGTTTTGAATTACTGTCAACATATTGTTCAGATTGTATCATTTCTTTCTCTTACTTTTGCAAACTTTTTTGGTGTTATGTCTTGCAGCACTGAAAAAAATGTTTATCGAAAAAAGAAAACGTGCAAAATACTTCACACTTATTTTGATAGCACAACATGTACACCTTTGACTTGTTGCTAAATTTGCATAAATTTTTTTCATTTTTTTATTTTTTGTATTTTTTGTATTTTTTTGAATTTTTGTATTTTTTTGAATTTTTGTATTTTTTTGATTTTTTACTGTCATCAAACATTACACGTAAATGGGTGAAAAATAGATAATATTGAGTATGAAAAGCAATCAAAGAGTGTAAATGCACTAAAAAGTGAACAAATTTTAATGGCTTATAATATTTTAATTGCTATAATTCAAAGTATTAAATTTTTTAGCAATTTTTTGCACGAAAAAAATAGAAGTTTTTTGTTGAAAAAAAAAGTTGACAATTTTTTTTTAAGTGCAAAAACTTTTTAGTGCGTATATTTTGGAGGTATTTTTAAAAAGTGAAATTGTTTGCTTTATGACAAAAATGAGTCATTTTGAGTGAAAGTTATTTTGTAGTTTTTTTGATTTGCAAACTTTTACTTAATTTCCTTTTACTAAAACAAAATTAATACTATCTTTTTTTTTTTTAAATAAAAAACAAAATAAAATAAACCATTTGATTAATGCTCTGTAAAGGAATTAATTATAATGCAGAAATGAATATATTTTTTTATCTAAAAAAGTATTTTATTTTGGATTACTTAGTGCAAAATGAGCTGTTGATCTATACTTCAATGAGTCAAAAATGGGTAAATAATCAATTCTGATCGCATTAAAATTCATTTCTTTTAATATCAATGATAGAAAGGAAATTAAGATTTCAATTTTAATCATAAAATTATTTTTAGCTAATAAAATAGCAATAACAAGTTATGTGTAAACAATAGGAGCATAAATATTTTTGATTAAAAATGATTCATTCATTCATTCATTCTTCTTCATTTCACTTATGTTTTTTTTATTTTTTGCACAATTTCTTGTAAAAATGAAAAGAATTCGTTTAAGACACCAAAATTCATCACAAATTTAGCAAAATAAATAAGCCTTTGTTTACTTTTTAAAACTTTTTATAAAACTTTAAAGTTGATCTTTTGTGGTGTACTATTTCAGTAAGCTGAGAGCTATGAGAACAATTTTAGATTTATTATCTAAAATATTTTTACTAATTAGTCTTTACTTGTTTTGGAATACTAAAATTGCTAATCTTTTAGCAAAGTTTTAGCTAAGCTTAAGAGTAATTCATCCCTAAGTCATTTCCTGTAAATGTTATTGTAAATTATTTCCCCAAAATTTTTTTACTATTTTTTATTTTACCAAAATTTTTTCTGCTTTAAAAATACAAAATTAGTTTCTATCAAAAGATTTCAGTTGATAATCAAAAATTTTTTCTCTTGTATTAGTTTTGAGTGATTTTTCTTTTTGTTTTAACAACTACAAATTTTTTCTGAAGTTTAAATTTAAAATCTGAGATTATAACTTTATTTGGCATGCAAATTTTGATAGCGATATTAATAATTGAATAATTTTGATGTAACCTTGCTTGGAGCAAAATCTAGGATTTCAGTTTATAAATGAATTAAAATTCGCTTCAAATGTCATCATTGAAAGTTTGGCGGAATGTGTAAAGGTGTACATTTAGCGGTAAACAGGTTGACCTAAATTATTAAGGTGAGAATAATCACTTTGCATTCAAAATGTGAATGCAAATAACATTTTAAATTTATCACAATATTAGGACGAAATTGTAAAAATGTTGTTTACGTATCTGGCCACGTCTACAAGCAATAGGGTCACATTTTGAGCTAATTATCTAAATTATCTTTTAGAGTTTTGAAAAATTACTTAAATATTGAACTATGCTGAATAAATATAGTATTAATAAATAGTATATGATGAATTAAACACTATTAAATCAAAATAAAACTGCAATATTTTACATTCAAAATTGTATCATCAAAATACATCACGTAAATGTGAATTTTTTTTAAAATATATATGTGAAGTAAAAGTATATTGCAACACTTTACTTTAAATTTAGCGAAAATAAGTTGAATTACATTGAAAAATAATTTTTCAAAATTTTTTTCGCCTGAATTCTTCTGATTCTGCTCGGTTTGTGCATTTACTACTGGTAGAGTTTTTATTTGTCTTTAAAATTTCCAGTTAGAAGACTGGACGTTTTCTTTGAAAATATTTATTAGTTGACAAACACATTTAATATTAGTGAAAAAATATTCTTAATTAATTTAACCCTAAAAAATGAAACATATTTTAATTTAATTAAAAAAATTAATGAAAATCATAAATTGAAAATGACATTCATAACAAAAACATTATAATTCACACTAAATACATTACATTAATGGTTACAAAAATTTTCATTTTATCGCAATGGTAGCACATTTTACATTAATATACAAAAATACATGACTGTATAATGTAGCGTAAATAAACTTTTTTCTTCGTTAATTAGAAAAAAAAAGACTTGCGTACTGTTCAAAATTAAAGTTCAATAATCTTTTTTAATTAATTACCTTTGACCTCATTGCACCTTCTTCACTTTCACTACATTTATAACAATTCAATGTAAAGAAATGAAAGTTTGAATAAATGTAAACAAATAAATACGTAATAATATGTAAGAATGAAAAAAGTTCAAAAGGCAGTAATTAAATTGTAATTAAATTTTACTTTTAACAGTAACAAATTTTATTTCGTTTTTTTTCAAAATTTTTTGCCTTTAAAAAATTTTCTTCGCACACTTTTAAAAGTTTTGGATTTTGTCACAGATAAACAACAAGTCAGTATGCATTATTATAAATTGTTGACATGAAATGAAATGTTAATTTTATCTGATTTGACAAAACTCGATTTGTAAGTAGAAGTAATATCTTTGCTTTTTCATTTTTAAACTTCTTTTTAGTTTGTTCAAATTTTCAAAAACTTAAAATGAAAGAAATTCTGTAACATTTAGAGCATTTTTTCGAATTATAAGTTCCGGTCTTTTAAAATTTATGAAGACATCTAAAAAATAATACGGTAATAATTTGTTAGCAAAGGTCATTGATAAGTAAGAATTTGAATTTTAAAGCACAGTCTAGAGCACAAAATAAACTTGTGCTTATATTATTTACTTGAAAGTTATCTTTGTGGCAAATGTTTTCAAGGAAATCACAATCTTACTCATTAGACAATTCTTTTATTTATCTTCATTTTTAATAAGTATCAATTTATTAATTTTCCAATTAAGAAACTATTCTATTTTTAAATCAAAACTAAAAGATATATAAATTGAATAGTTATCAGTGATGGTAACTCTAAGTTTATTCTCGTTAGTGATACAGTAGTGCTGTAAGCAAAGCTCATACTTTTGTATGACTAAATTGAATCTCATTTTAAAGAATAAATATCAATAAAAAACTGTATTGTAAGCTTTTTCTTCGTTAATTTTTGTTCAGCTTAGATTGAATGCTTTTTTGTGACCAAACTTAAACTCCAGAATTTATCCTTTCAATATTATATTGTTAATAAAACAAACTTGAAATATACTCATTTATTTACGCACTCTAAATCCTTACCTATAACTGATGCATTTGAATATATTGTTAAGTAATTTAGGAAAATTTAGTTTATTTCTCAACGTATTTAACTTTTTTCATACTAGAGTAAACTTAGAATTACGATTATTTCTGAGCAGTTTTAACTACTTGCTTATATTTGAATTTTAGATAAATGATATGGCCATAATGCAATTACTCAAAAATTGATCCCATATCTATTAGTATTTAAACAAGTCACTCAAAACTATTCACCAAGATGTGCAAAATTATTTACAACTATTTATCTATCATGTGTTAAGTGAAGTTAAGGTAATGCCTTCAAAGACTTCAGTGAGCTACTTCTGAAAAATACATGATAAGCCTTTTCATATAACCATCTTTTATTTTCAATCGTTTCCATTTTTTAAAGAGCTTTTTTTATTATACTTTATCATCTTGTACACTTTTATTGAATAATCAAGCAACTTTTATAACTGATACAAGAAACAGATCAAAATAAAGACAAACAGCAGCTCAACATAAGCTATCAAATGGAAAAAAACTTGAGGAAATATTCAAATTTCGAGAATAGACATTTTAGAAGTAATTCAAAATTTTAAAATTTCCGAATTTTTACACAAGTTAAAAATGCTAAGATTTGATTATAAAACTCATTTAAGCCCAATTCTCCTATTCACATCGAAATCAAATTAAGTAATACAAAGTAAAAATCGAAATGTTACAGTTATAAATCAAAGGCATCAAGAAAGTATACCTGCATTTGACCTGGATAAAAAAAAGAAACAGCATAATATCACTATTATACAAGTGGAATGTAATGTACCGTTTCAAGGATTGCAAAAAAGATCACAAGTAAGAATTTCCAGTTCAGCAAAAAGACCTGAATTAAATAAGTGCATAAATAGTTATCGAAAAAGAATAGTTCAACAAATTATGTGCAAACTGGACAACTATGCATAGTTATTCAAAAAGATATTATAGAAAGAGATAAAAATGACCACAGCATTTATCGTACTAAAGCTTTATAATGAATAAATGATTAAGCAACAACTGAAATATATGCAAATTTTTATTCATCTGATAATTTATCAAAATCTTAACAACCAATATAAATCATAAAGGAAGTTCAGCATTTATTATTATGCTTATTTAGCAAAACAAGTTTTAAAAAAATTGATGGGAATTGTAAATAAGAAAAATCAAAATAAAATAATGATGAAGCTTAAAAATAAGACTAAAACGATCTTTTCACTTACAAGAATATTTAAATAAGAAAAAATAAACTTCAAATTTAAAGCAAACATTGCGTCAAAGGTGTTGGATACCACACAGGATGAGCTGAAGTGGATACCAATCCATCCAATTGTGTAGCTGATGTATTAGTTCCTTGTTCTTGACCGTAATATTTTGTAAGAAACCAATTTTGTAAATGCAAAACTGTAGTTAAATCCGTAGCTGACTTTGCTGTATTAGATAGTGATAAATCAGATGATGATGTAGGAGAAGAATCATACTGAAGTGCGTAAGCTGAAGAAGTAATTCCTGAAGTTACATTACTTGGAGCATTTGATAAATTTCTATTACCATTATTTTGCTTTAATGTTACTCCATATCGCTTCTTAAAATTATGCAACCAATGCTCAGAGAATAAGCATCGAGCGGATTTTGTTGCTTCTTTTAATACTTCAGGACAAATTTGTAGTGCTAATTCACGAGCTTGCTGCTGAAGCCAACGATTAGAAATACGTTCTCCTTTCGACTGCTGTTGTTGCAATCTTTCAAATAAAACTTTTTCTACACCTGGAAATTGTACTTTACGACCTCTACGACCTGGTTCTGCACCTACATGATTTTTCCGGCAGAGCCATGGAAATCGTTCATAAAATGCTTGAATAGGTAATTGACCCGGTTTATTAAGAATTTCTTGAATATGTTCCTGTGTTGTTGGAAACGTTTCTGTTGTAGGTACTCGATTTTGAGAACTTGTCTGATCTTCTACATCAATCAGAGTTTCTAAACTGTCACTCAGAATGCTATCTACATCAGAATCCATACTTTCATTTTCTGCTGCTTCATCAGATTTAGTGGGTGAAGGATGTAGGGATCCAGTTGCACTACTACTAGATCCAACAGATTCGTTAGAACCGAAACTGCTATTACCAGAAGACCAATCACGATTCAAATTGATCTTGTAGCGTTTCTTGAAGTTACTTAACCAGCGTTCGCTAAACTGACACATACCTGCTAATTCTCGTTCTGAGCATTGTTGTCGTGCTAAATCTCGAGCTGTTTCTCGAATCCATCGATTCCCAACTTTTTTTCCCCTTTCTAAATGAGCATGATAAAGATGGAATAATTGTTTTTCAATGTCAGGAAATTGCGGTTTACGACCGCTACGACCAGATTTCAATGAACCAGGCCTAGATTGCTGAATTTTATCAATTTTTTGCAGCCAGCCATTAAGCATTGATTTAGTTATTTGAAATTCTTTGCAGGTACGGTACTTATTCTGTCCATTAGTATAATAATAATTAACAACCATAAGTTTGAATTCCCTTGGATATGACATTCGATTTGGTCCTACTGAGGGACCAAATTTGATTGCAATCCAGTTAGAGTCTAAATTTGGATTTGCACAAGTTGGCAGAAATGTTTTTTGCCGTTGGGTTTTGATTACAGACTGCTGTCGTACAGATGGTGATGGTGCTGAGACTGATGCTGACGATGATGATGATGTTCCTAGTGTTGTTGCTGGCTGGCTGAGATCTAATGGTACTTCATGATCAGCTTCTAATTCAGATAGTTTTGTGCCTGTTGAGAGAATTAACCCTGAAGCAAGTGGATGTATGGGTGTTGGTCGATACAAACGAGTAGCTTTCGGTGAATTCAACAACTGAACTAAACTAGAAGTAGTTGTAGCAGTAGTAGTAGTGGCAGTAATTGTAGGAGTAGTTTGTTGAGATGACTGCATACTTTCTGAGACGAAATTATGCGAGCTAGTAGATGGAGCAAACGATGTTGAAGGTAGCATTTGAATAGCTGCGACGGATGATGACGCAGAAGTTGACCCAAATATGTTGACCTTCGAGGTTATGTGGATTTTTTTTTCTGGAATACTGCTTTATTAAATCCATAAAATGAAAAAAAGGTTGTTGATGGTATTGATGAAAATAAAAATGTTCTGCAAAGGAGAAAGTTTGATGATAACAGCTGAGATGATCATCTTTTCAACAAGCGTATTGACGAAGCGAATTAAACTAAAATAAAGTAAAATTTGAGCTAGAAGATGGGTTGGGTGATATGTGTCGGCCAAACATTAAAAGGGGTAGGTAATACGAATAAAGAAACATCATCGTCAACATCATCATCATCATTACCATAATCAACATCACCACTATCAGACCTGTAACCCTGCAAGTAGTTCAACAGAAAGGTCGTTGCCTGGCTGATAATCGGTTCGCCTAAATTTCCATTTCTTTCAGAATATCCTTCACCTCCTTTCTCTTTTGATTCATCACAACAAATATCGTGTAATTTATTCACACTACTACAAATTCATTGGATAAAGAAGGGTCATGTAACCCAACTTGCTGTTACAGACATAATATCATATACATTTCCTTCAATATCACTTCAACCTTACCAATTTTAAACGTTGATACACTAAAGTAAAATGATTACAGAGTATGTATGAGTGCGTGAAAGAGAGAATATTTTGTTTCTTTGAAGGTCAACCAACCCCACCAATATATTCGTTTACAGCGTCCCATCACATTTGTCATTTTTGAAATGATGGAAGCAAGGTCAAATTCACTACTGAAATAAATCCCTCTACTTTGTTAAGAATACAAAAGTTATAAGAACACAAAATTTTACGCACATTTCCTTTTTTCAGTTATAGACACTCAGGTATAAATGTAAAAGTAAATGCAGTATAAGGAATCTAGCAAATTCGTTGCACAACTAAGTTATTTAATAACTGATCGCTAACTACTTTCTCAAACTTTTTTGTCCATCTAGTACTGATTGCTAGAAAATAAGCAGTAAAGACCATTAGAAGACCTTTTACCTTGTCTAACTTCTAGTACTAAGATTTGTCCTTCTTCAGGATAAATAATGATATTATATAAAGTATCATTAGTCCTATTCACAATATTCGCAACAGCTTCCATATACGTCCAAGTCACTTACCATTTTTCATTGTTCCACTTCCTTTCAAGAGTTTATCAAAATAAAATGCTTAAAAATGCAAAAGGAAAAAGAGGAATTTTATTTTTACAAAAGCTAAAAGCTAAAGAAGAAGCCAAAAAACAAAAATGGTAAACGATCTAATTATTACAGTGATAAATTACAATAAACGTACTTCAAACTAGCCATCAAATTGTATTTTTGCTATTTTTCAGCAATAAGAATTACGAATGGAAAAAGTGAATTAAAAAGAAACGTTTTTCCATTTGGAAAAATACTTAGAAAGAACATTTTGAATGACAACAATGAATTATTAATCACTACTGCAAATACATTACTGTTTTGTAACTTAAAATTGACACTTTTAACGATCGGTAAAAATGGTTAAAGTGTTATTATTAATAAAAATGCATGGAAAATGACTGAAAATGAAATGATTTAAATATGCCGTCATTTCAGTTTTTACTATATGGGTCTAAATAGAGATCGGGTGGGTCGTAGTGATGATTTAGTGAATTTCCATCATGGCCATGACCTAAATTTCAAGGGTACTACGAACAGCGAACAAGCAATTTTCATGATAAAGCAGACAATAAATGATTTTGGCGTCATGGAGGTCATCTGATGAAAAGGATGGATGACCCCAAGATGCGGTCGTTGACCTCTGGAACCTCTCGATTTTCCTCCTCATCCGAACTTTCTCTTCCCGACATACTTTTCCTTCCAATAACACAGTACCTCCCAGCACCTGGCACCTTTTAGGTATTCTTCACCAAACGAACGCTGAAATTTTACAAGAAACTTTAATCATGCACACCCGACACTCGTACTTATTCTCATTGAAAAATAGGTTAACTTTTTTTCATTGCTATTTTAAAACGTCATTATCATTTGTAAGTAACAGAGAATGCAACCAACCAACCGGCTTCAAAGATTCTATCACTTACAATTTCATCGAGTTTTTCTAATCATCTTTAGCGTGCTACATTGATAACTTTTTGCAGCATTTCAAAAATCCTCCAAAACATCGCCACCATTTGATAATACTTGCTAAATTTTTCAACTACAAAATGGCAAGAAAAAAGCTGCAATGATAAGAAAATAATACAACTGACCTCCGCAGTAAATCTAACAAAATTTTCTTCAAATTTATTGCAAATTATTTTTAGACTGCTAAATAATAACACTAATATTCTGAATTATTACTTCTAAATATTAGATAAAATAAAATGAAATTGTTCATTATCCTTCACTAAACACTATTAAAATCCACTGCAACTAATCCACGTAAATTCACCTACATCTAATCGTTTTAACTTGCGCATGTGTGCTTCTGAACACTCTAACAATGACTCATACATTTCTTTTATACTATCTTAGTAAGCATCGATCGACAAACATGACAACCATTTCTTAAATTTGTTATCATTTGAACTCATCAATTTAATTCATAATGTGTGGATCATAAGTTAATCAGTGAAAATAAAAAGTAAATGGCATGTAACCGAAATAAAATCAGAGATGAACAAGCTCAATTATTGAAATTTTGAAATAAAATAAAATAAAAACAATAAAAAATTTGCATAAGAATTTTTTTCAAAATTTGGAAAATCTTTTTTAAAATTCAAATATCGCAGTAGTAAGAAATTTTTTCGTGCATTTAGAATGCTATTTAATAAAAAATACAAGTAATAACTAATCAATAAAAATATAAGCAAGAAATTACTTAGTAACAATTAGTACCCCGCAATTGCATATGTCTACATTTGCTAACTTAGAAAGGCACAAATTTATTAACTTTCATCTATTACTACTGATTATAAATTAGAAAACTAAAGTAATAAAGAAGTAATACTGCATATTTGACCTCTCTTCATTACTTACGCAAAAATGCTACATCACTTGACCGTAATTGATGACAGTCAAATACAAAAATAGTATCAAACAGTCGCCAATTGTTGGCTACTTGTCTCTTAGCCAATCACAAAATTTACTCTAAAATCTTACAGTGCATACATCAGTCTATCCATGGATTTGTTTGTTTTCTGGCATTTCGAATGTTTTTACATTCATTTTCATATCTTTTTCTAACGTAACATAACGTTTTTTGATAATATTATTGTTTTTGCTCTCAGTTCTAACCAACCAGAAAGATTTCTCTGCGAAGTATTACAGAAATGTTTAAATGCTTACTGAAGAAGGTGTCGAGAGTGCGTCTTCTTCGTCTACAACATACTACGAAAGTTCTTTAAGTATGAATCGTGAAATTGATGGACGTATTGCATCACTTTTATCTTCCCTACGGTACATATTTTCTTTTTGTGAAAGATTAAACACGAGTATAAATTTACGAGTTATCAGAAGTAGCCTCGAACTTTTAATTGTTTCATTACTGTTACAAATACTAGAAATAAATACAAGTAATAATTAATTAAAATTCAGTGAAGTAACAGTTGAATAACTTATTGAAAACAGTCGGGGTCCGATAACTTATTATAAACAGTTACCATTTACTGTCTGTAACTTTCGCATTTTCATTCACACGTATTCCTTTTTTGGCAACATGTTACTTTACATATTTAAACTTAATAATGTTTTTGTATCATAAATCATAGTTTTACTTATTAATAATGCGCGAAATTTTCTTTACTAGATTTTAGATTAACGTCACTTCGCATTAACGTACCTCAAGATGGAGAAGACGAATTCTTAAAAAAAATTCATCGTCAGCTAGAATGGCTAGTGAATGAAGAACCTGATAATCATAGGTTATAAAATTTTTGCATTTTTACGAAAAAGGTTTTAGTAGCAATTTGATGGTCTCATTTTGAAATTGAAAAATATTTTCTATGTATTAAAACAGTTTCTTTCTTCTATCAATTAATTAACGCTTTTGGTGAAATTATTTTTAGTGTTTTGGTTTCGAAGCAATTTTTTAGTGTATTTATTCGGCATCAGTTTTGCTCTATATTGTATGAACAACGTGTAGTGCAGATCTGTTTTTCGTTATTCTCTGAAAATTATTTTGTTACCTTTAAGGAGAAGACGTCTTCGACATATTTTGCCTGCAGCTAATTGTGTACGAGAGCAACTTTTTGTATTACGACGTTACTCACATAATCCCACTATTGCTTCTGGTAAAAATTATGCAGCACATATACATGCAGCATTGACAGCGATCATGAAAGAATCCTTCGAAGAAGATTATCGAAAATTAGCCATAGTAGTTGGTTCGTTTTTATCTTTTTGAAGTAATATTTTTAAATATAATATAAGCATATGAGCATATTGAAATCATTCTACTTGTCAGGTGTTTTGGATGCAGTTGCGGAATTACTAATATTTGAAGTTAATGTTTTTGGCATTGATTGTCCAATAGAGAATCGTACAATTAGGAAGTTGATAGCAAGTACTCTAACAAATTTAACGTTTGGAAATGCCCACAGTAAACGTCGTCTATGCTCTCATCCAAATCTGATAGAATATACTATCAAAATCATTGATGATTCTCGTGGTCTTTCTCAGGTTTTTGATAATTTTTTTATGCAATTTGGTCATTATATTTGTACAATTGCATTTATTACATCGTTTTTTTGTCATGTTCTCTATTACTTCAACTATATTTAGTTTCTTAAAGGTATATGCTGGTTTATTACGTAATTTATCTTGGATGGCAGATGCTCAAATGAGTGCTACTTTAGCTCCATCAGTTCCAGCTCTTGTACGAGCTTCTCTACGAGCATATCATACAGCGGAAACAAAATGTTTATGTGCTACTCTTTCTGCTCTTTGGAATTTAGCGTCTCATTCACGAGATAATAAAAAGGCTTTATGTGAAGAGCCGAATTTTTTAGAAATGCTTGTAGAATTGTCTACAAATGATGCGCGATATACGGTACATAATTTAATTTGAAGAATATAATTAACTGTTGAATAAATTAAAGTAAATATTTTGTGATGGTCATAAGCATAGGATTAATATATTCAGACACTGGTTGAGCCTGCGACTGGCGTCTTAAAGTATGCATCTATGTATATGGCTGTAGTTGGTTCAGACCATTATCTGTCTCCAAGTGCTGTTCATATGATGATGTTTCGTCTAATGGGTCTTTTAAATAGTCCATCGTTTACTGTTATTGGAAACGTCTTAGGGGTGTTGTCGCAATTGCTGGCCAAAGATCTTCAGCTACGATCTCATATTGTGTTAGTTTCAAATTCATGCGAATTCATGTCTTAAAATTTTATGTACCCTTTATACAGATGAAATTCTTATTTATTTGCTTTTTAACTTTCTTATTGAGCTGCCTTGCACTGATTTTATTCTCATATGTTGAAAAAGTGTTATCTTTTAATTTGATTGTTATAATGAAGTTTTTAGGAACTTTTTCCTACATAATTTGAAGCATATTTACTGCGAAAACTTTTTGTAGAGTAAATCAAAAAGCTATGGTATTACTAAATCATCTTCGCAATTCTACTCGTGATGACATCCGTAACCCAGTTAAAACTGTTTTGAATTATTTGAATTCATCAGATGTGTCTGGAACGTATGCTTCCGCTTCAACGCAACCTCATTCGCATGGTGGTCTACTTCTGCTTTATTTAGAACTTTGATTTAGTGCTTGAGAAGTTTTTGTTTTGCATTCTCTTTAACTTTTCAGAGTTTGATTATTAAGTTTGCAAGCATTTTACAGGCATGTCGTCTTCTTATACTGGTACAGCGACCATTGTTCCATTTTATTCTGATTCATCTCGGCTATTAAAATATCGTTCATCTCATTCTCATACTGCTAGTGCATTGGCCGGAAACATGAACAATGCTCTCAAAACTGAATTTTTCCCGTATTCTTCATGTGGCTCATCTGTGCAGCAAGGTTTCGCTCCTCGCCCGGGTGATCGTTCTCATCATCAAGAACAGTTTGCATCTCTTCCACGTCATTTTTTTCAGAAAACTAAAATTTCAAATACTGCCTCTAATGGAAATGATGATAAGTATTTCGAACAAAGTAAAGTAGCAGCGCAACTTTCGTCTTCGTATGTTTTGTTTTTTCTTTGGGGTTTGCTACACAGTTTATCAATGTGGCTGTCAAAGAATTATATTTCACTTTATGTGCTGCCATGACTATTTTATACTATGTTTTTAATAACCTAAATGCAAATTTGATGCAAATATAATAAGAGCAAACTGTTAGAATTAGTTAATTCAGCTGTCAAGTAGATTAGCGGCATGAAAATGTATTGATTTGATCCCAGTTTAGCCATAATAAATATAGATATCAGCGCTATTAGAAAAACACGATTATGAAATATAATATCTGTATTTGAAATAGTTAACTGTATTGAAATATATAAGTGTCACCGTATATATCACAATAGGATAAATATTAAAGACACTACAAAAAAAGTTGAAATAGGAAGAAATGTAAAATATCTTTATTTGGTCTTATGTAATACATATGAGTTATTAGACTGTTAAAGTTTTGTGGAGCTAAAACTTCAAGCTCAAAAACAATTTAAAAGTGATTTTATTCAAAGAAAATTTGAAAATGATTTTATTTCTTTAAGAAGAATTTGCTGGCACCAATCATTTGGATCAAATTAGTTATATTGTTCATTAGAATACAAAGTCTTTGCTTTAGTGACACTGTTACAACTGCCCTGTATCCTATTCGTCAAGAGCAAGTGACCAATTCGAATAATTCAAGAGATATTAATACTGAAAATGCACAAAATCTTAGTTTGGAAGATAATGGGAATAGAGAGGAATTACGCTGTCTGGACAGGCCTGATGATCCTTCTTTTGAGGTCGAAGATAGTGTACGATGTACTCGTTGCACCAGTACACAGTCTCTTTCCTCACTTCTACCGGTACAATTCTTTTTGAAGTTGTACTTTTCTTTCATAAAATTCCATGAGATACATTTTCAAATTGTTAGAAGCGAAGAGCAATGTTTATTCTTTAAATTTAGTCGTAAAATTATCTGTTAATGTCTTGAAAACGTACTTTGTTTATTTCGAAATCTCAAGAATGGCATAAATTTGCATATGCATCATTGAGACCGAAAATTTTGAATAGTGATGGAAATCTGAACGGTTACAGTCTTGTTTTAATAAAAGAAAAATATATAGATGTTAGAACTTTCGATTTTAGGGAGAAAAAAGTACGTGGGATAGTTGTAACAATTCTGCAGCCGAAAGCAATCGTTTATCTCCTCTTAGTGCTACTGAAATTCCTGATTCGCCTACACACTGTGCACTTGTACGTAATTCAACAACACTTTCTGCTCGTAATTTGGATTTAACTGCGAGTACTGAGGACCAGGTAAACAGTGAAGCTAGTCCATCTAAAAAAAAACAGCATCAAGTTTCAAAGTCAGATCCTGTGCTCACAGTGCCTAATGTGCAAAAATCATCTGATGGAGACGGCAGTTCTAATACTGGAGATGGAAAAAGTATAATTTTTGCCTATAATTATATTTTTATTTTAATCTCTTATTGATGTTCAGTTTTTTGTTGTGAGCTGAGGAATTCTTGTTGTATGTCGGAATAATCTTGATATCATTTTTCTTCTTACGTTGTTGCTCAGTAAAATCTGTGCTTTTCATTTTAAGTTTTTCGATTTAAAAGTTCTTTGTTATTTAATATGAAAAAGAAAAGCCCGAAATTTTAAAAGCTTATCTAAGAAACGAAAATTTAGCAGAGGACGATTATGGAAGTTTCTTAGGTCGTGCTGATTCGGAGTTGTTGAATCAATCAATTGAAGATGCAATGCCTAAAAGGTATACATTTGTTTTTTGTCTATACCTCTAAGTTTGCATGCATGATCGCAAAACATTACTTGCTGCAAAAATAATGAAAGTTTTTGAAACTTCAGCAAAAAGACTTCATTCATAGTGTTTTATTACAGAGTGGAAATCAACGAAGAATTTTTAGCTGATATGATTGAACAAGCACAACCAAAACCATCACCTGTAAAACATTACAATAGTGCTGGAGGGCGAAATTTCATAAAAACGTCCACAACAAAATTTCATCCCATCACTTGTGGATCAAAAAGTGAGAATCTGTTTTACATAATTTTTGTTTTGCTTTGAATACTTTCAAATTCTTTTGTAGCAGCAGAAACTGATTTACTTTCTGTTTTTTACTATAAGGCTTATCTCGACTTTGATGCAAATTTCTGGTTTTCTCCTGCACTTAAGAACTGCTTATTTTTATACAAAAGTCGGTTTCATTTTAGCAGGCAGCGACGACTTTTTGCTGCAAAGTATTGCCAGCGTATTACCCCAGAATTCAAGCTCTTGGAATAGTCCCTCAGGCGTAGGATCACCTCCAAAAAAATCGAAAGCTATGGCGAACGATACTGTGCGCACGTCAAGTGGCCCCAAGCGTACTTCAAATGCGGTTTTTTCAAGTATGCACAATCGTCTCATTCACAGCTGCTCTGCCATACAAACAAAAGAATTGCGGCCAAATAATATAAATTTGAAATCGAAATTTGAAAGTAAAACGTCGGATTCGCCCATTTCATTCGATGCAGCATTAGAAAATTCTTTCATTGATGGTCCAGGAACTTCTGAAAAAACTGAAAGTGCTTTGTTATTGATTCATCAATATTCTAGTGATAATGATAAGGTAAATTCATTAGTATTCCAATTATGAGGTAGCTTGTTTTCAATTGCTGTTAGTTTTATTCTATTAAAAAGTTCATTCAGGAGACTATGATGTTAAATGAGGATAACTACAGTCCTTTAACTGATAACATTTGTGCTGTGGACAAGAATATTCCTCAAGATGTTGACGAGGATTTCCATGCGGAGCAACTCATAATTGATTGTAGTGTTGTATCAGATACTGTCAAACAAACTTGTGTGAGGCCATTTCAGAAAGAGAAGTAATCATTTGATTTGCAAATAATGATACTTATTTTTCGAATGATTTTAAGTGTTTTCTATCATGCAACTTTGTTTATCGTATTTAACTCCATATGTACAAATTCTCCGAATTTTTTAAAAACTTTCAAAAACAAGGAATTTACGTCATTCCTGCGTTAAGCATGCGTGTTGTGTGCCTAGGTTCATTTTTATGAAGTGTTATAAGTAAAGCTTGCTAAATTTTTAAGGTTCACCAGCTTTGCATCATTCTGAAACCGCTGAAAATTTTAATGGTAAGCATATCGATTTTAGTTTCACGTATTTCAGTACGACAACTCAGCAAAATATGAATAAACAATTATATGAACAAGAAATTTTCGTATTACCAGCACCACTTAGCAACAGCAGCTCATCGAATCATTCTCGCTGTCCAACCAAAATGTCTACTCTTAAAAACAGTTGTTCAGAAATACCAAGAATTGCAGGCAATTTCCTTTTGTTTTTTGATATTTTCTGATATCTCATTTTTGAGAAAAACGTTTTTTTGTATTAACAAAAAGCATTGATTTGTGTATTTTATTAGTTATTGCCTTTTGGTAATTTACTTTAAAATCAATTAGTAGTGTTCTCTATTTATAATTCGTAGTTCCCTCATCATTTGTTCAAACCATTTTTCGACTGAAAGTTATTTTTTGTGTTTTTCTAATTTAATATTACAAGTGAAAAAATTTTCATTCATTTTCATCTTCTATCAGTTTTCTAAGCATGAATGCAGTTTTAGACTTTTTTCTGTGATTATAGTCCTAACTTATTTGATTGTTTATTTGTTTTCAGTATTTAGCCCAGATAAACAAGATATTGATTTCAGCTTCACATCTAAATGTTTTATAGGAAAAATTCCAAAACATACCGCTTTTTCGAAAACAATTCAAGATAAGAATTATATCTCAGATACAATCGCTTCGAGAACTAGAAACCTAAATAATACTGCAAAGAAACTCACAGAAGTAAGATTTTGATGGTTCTGCTTCCGTAAATTAATGATAAATGCTCGCTTCAATTTTGGCTGACAACATTTTATCGTTCTTACGTGACTGTCTCTGTTATTTGTTTCAAGCAAGATTTTCATTGAAATTGAGTACTTGTTTTTTCTACTTCAACTTGCTTTTAATTTTGATATTCCAGAACTGTAAAAGTCAGTATGTAGGTCGCTCAAGCATTTTATCGAAATCCAAGAAGTCATTGTTACCAAAGACAAAATCGAGTTCAGTGTTCGACTCATCACTGAGCTCATCACGACCGGAAGCTTATCAGAGTCAAAGAAATGTCCAAAATCCTTCTAAAAATAGTGCGACTTTCGTCTCTGAAGCTGTTGAGTGTCAAATAGGCCTAAATCAGGGACTGAACGAAAACAGTTCTACGAAAACACTCCCGTTTAATCACAGGAATATAGCTGAAAAGGTTCTTCTTTTATATTTATTAAGATGCATTTGCTATGCACTAGAATTGTGGTTAATTTTCAACTGATTGATGTCTAGTTGTGATTTTTTAGATATTGAACAAATCCAAAAGTAAAATCATTATTATGAAGCAGCTATATATTTATAGAATTTTTGCTTTTGCCTCGTACTCGAGAAAAAATAAAATGAGACTGGGTAATATTTTTACTTGATGAACAAAATCCTAATTTTTAGACTATTAGTGATGCTGTTATCTGCGAGACTGATAACAAACGAGGCCTGCATGTAGCAGATGCTGAAAATGACAATAGCTCGCAGTGTGGTAACCATTCTACTAGAAGACAGAAGAAATCTGTTAAACAAATGCTTGTAACTACTGTGTGAAGTCAGTTGCCTTCCATTTTTTGTAATATTATAACATTCAAGCTCCTATCAGAAAAGAACATCGTTCTGAAAATCCTCTTCGTTAACCTTTCGTAATGAAGACATTAAATTATGAAAAAGTTTTGAAGGTTTACATTTTATCAAAAACGAGTTTAAAAAAGGTTAGAAAATGCTTTTCCAAAATCGTATTAGAAATAGTACTTGAATTGTACTTGGATCTCACTAATTAATTCATAAGTGTGTTGTTCTTTTTACATTTCTTCACTGCCTAATATTTTTTCTTCATATACATATGTAACAAACGTGTTGAAAGTTTGATACGTTGACTTATGTGCTCTTTAGGTCATGTTACTTTCACTTAATAATCATATTTGTGCCTTTTGATAATGTTATCGTTTAAATTTAATATATTTCTCGAGATCAATATGGTTTGTATGCGCAGTTTTTCCTATGTATAGAGAGCATTTGATTTCATATTTCACAACGTTTTGTTGAAGATAGACTAAAAAATTTGTTTATGCTTTTCAGTTTGAACTTATATACTTTGTGATGTATCCTCTCACGCATTGTACGTAATGTATAAAACAATTTTCATAGGTTTTGTTTTCAGTTTGGCTATATTGTCATGAATGTAATTAATTTTTAGGAGATAAAATTGTAGTTTTGTTCTTCCGCGAAGTGTTGCTTGCTTATTCTTGCCGATAATTTTTATTGAATAAATGATTGCTCAGAACCGGACTGGATTTCTACTGCACTCAACATTTGCTTTATTTTCACGTCTATTTATTAATAAATTGTAATTAATGAATAGACATACAAAGTATGTTTGGTTGTATATAAGACATATAAGGAGTCTATATAATTTTAGTTCCTATTTCAGGGTGTGTATCGTCGACAGTTTAAAATTTTCATGGATAATCATTTGGAAGAAAATGGAAGGCAAGTACATTAGAGTCTTGGTGTTTTCAAATACTATTTAACAATTGGACTTTTTTGTAGATGATGTAGACATGAAGAACTTATCTGGTTAGGCTAAGATTTGTTTCGTCATTTATGGTATGTAATAAATTGTGATGTGCTACGTTTTGGGTGACATGAATATAATTTTAGTCGACGCGTTCTTAATAATTTTTCTGTTGAGTGTATTTTATATGAAGTAGTAATTTAGCATTAACAATTATAATTTATGTTTGAATATTTTAGCATTTCTAGATTCAAAGAAGCAATGCAAAAGATATTCGATTAGCAACGACGTAGTATGATGTGAATGATTGAGTTAATTTTGTTTCATATTTTTGCGAAAAACAGAAGAGTTATTCCTTATTAGTAGTTTGTTGAAAGATATACTTTGTGAAATATCTCTAAGCAAACGACTTGCATCGATGTTGGCTAATTTTTCAAAAAGCAAATAGATTGAGTTAGAATTTTTAGCAATGAAAGAGAACTGACTGTTTTTTATGGTTTGAAAATGCATGCATGACAAGAAGGTTTCTGTAGATTCTGATGATGTAAATGATTTCTAATTTTAATTCATCAACTTCACAAGCTGAAAGATGTATGCTTATTGATTTCACATTTTTATAAATTGTAATTCAGGTACGAAAGAAACAAAATTATTCAGGTTCACGTTTACATTCATGTGTGATTTATATGTGATAGGTGCCTAAATACGTTGCAAGTTGTAGGATATTTGGAAAACACTTTTTGGTCTTCTACTTTTTGTATCTATTTTTTTTAGCCTTTCTGACTGCTTCAGTAAGCAATTTTTGTTGCTGAAGGAAAAAATAACTTGATTAGAATACGATACGATATGATATGGAATATTAAGCTTTGAGTACAGTGTGCAAGGAAATTAATATGTAGTACATGATTCAGTCTCGTTACAAAACATATACATTTATAAATTTGAATTACTTTATGAAAAAATTTTCAAGATGTATCGAAGTATGCAGCTTGTATAATATAATTAGCGAAAAAAATATACCATTTTAAAAAGTAAGGTCTATTTTTTGTAAATGTCTGTTTAATGCTGTTAATTTTTTGACAGTAAATCATTTCACTAAAGTAAATAGTGAGACAAAAAATGAATATCTATCTGCCTGATTTGGCACAGATCTGAATTTGATTGTAACATATTTGCTTATTAGTGAAATGATCATATAATCATGTTATACAAATTACTATAATTTTATTTTTTGTATTTTTAAATTTTTTCTTTGTTTTTAGGTGTTTAGTTCTTTATTGAAGTGAAATGAGATTAGTAAAATGTGAGTTAATTTTTTGTGTCTCTTAGCAGTAAGAAAGTTAGTTTATTTTTAAAAGCTTAGAAGACATGTGAAAGTGAGACTTCATGAAATTGTAGTGCAAATAATAAAACAATTGTTGCTAACTTTGTTACATCAAATTATTTGATTTTATTCGTGAAAGTTTGTTAGTTCACGATTATCTCGTACTGTTTTAACTAGCAGTTATTTATTTGCCGAATGATATGCATAAGTTATTATTTCATATATTTATAAGGATTATTCAATATAGTAGATTTTTATTATAGAAGATTGATCATTTATGCAAATTTACAATTGTTGATAATATCAGTGGCTTTACTTGGTAATCTGCTTATTTATCAATAAGTGGACAGAAAAAATATAGTTGAAAGGTTATTTAGGATTTAATAAGTGCATGAGTTGAATATCAGTTATGGTCTCGATAATTTAATACTACGCCGTTTTTTCTGATTATCTTATTTTGTCGTGAATTAATACATAATCATTGCAGTGACCTTTCACCTGAATTTAATTTACTTCAATTCCATAGCCTAGCAAATACGTTCCGCATTGTAGAGTGTCGTGTAAACGTTTCCTTGTAGGAAGTGCACGTGTATGTTAAGTATGCATGAAAGACATTAAATAAGACTATGAAACTGAGTAATAGTTGATATTGATTAGAGAGAACAGCCTAATGTTGGACTGGCCTAGTGGGCTAGCAAGCTTATTTGGCCCATATCTACGTCGCTTGCTTAGCGCATGCCTATATCATCACCACCATCGTCTGTTTGTTCATTTACTTGGCATACATTTTGCTACGCCGGTTGCACGCGTGAAATTGTTTGTAACCATAATGAAAAGGTAATGAGATCACGTAATCCTCCGTAAGTATATTTTGTACCGTGATTATTTTTTTAAATATAATAAAGTTATGTAATGTAATAAATCATTGTCTCGTCCTTATCAGCATTATTGTCATAATAAATTATAAGCAGCATTTTTATTAACAAAACGAGAGTAAGTGTGCTAAAACGAAGTGTATCAACTCTTTTGCTTTCTTCGCATTGATCAATACTATATTTTTTAGTGCACATAATGAAATAGTACCAAATTTTAAGATATTTTTCAGAAAGCAGTCTAACATTGCACACTCTTAACAATGCATAATAACGCGTGCATGTCACGTATTCATTTTTATCTCGCAATCTCTTTACTTATTTGCGTGTATTTGCTTAGTTAGAGTAAATGAACGCTTGCGATCAATCACATCCAACTCTTCTCGAGCACCTGTACTAATTGTATTAAATTATACACTAATGATAGTTAAATCTGACCATATTCTTGCTTCATTTAATATTATCGTTGAATGAATTGAATTGATTTACGCATCGATAAGTAACGCAGCTTCGGTAAACAATTCTTTTCGCATTAACGATGCTCTCCAGCCTTTGTTGTTTGGGTGGTTGTGCTGATAGTATTGTTATTGTCATTATTATTAATATTGATAATAATTGTTATACTATTATTATTATTATTATTATTATTAGTAGTAGTAGTAGTAGTAGTGGTAGT